CTGCAGCCTGCACAGACCCCTCTCAGACTGCTCATCCTGTCATGGGGCTGCTGTATCTATGTTGTAAGATTAAATGTTTTTACTTGAAGTATGGGCCAGGGAAGTGAATTTTGCCATCGCTGCTGCAGTCTTGAACTGACTTTATAACCGAAGATCCAGGAGAATTCTTTCAATCCTTGACATCAGTCTGCAGTTCTATGACCTTACCAGCCTCGTGGTTTCATCATAGTGGTAAATTTTCCATTCCTATGCAACAAATCATTTTAAATCTTTTCTTGCTGACCTTGTAAAATGCCCTCTCTGTATTGTTTACCCCTGTAGGGGTGTTAGCCCAAGTGTTCTGGACAGTTTCAGTTGAGGTAATTAGCTTTTACTTGCTGAGAAATCTGTTTCAGTTATTATTCACTTTGCCTATTAAACATGAGTATATTTCTAGGCCAGAATAAATGTTACATTCTCTGTTACAGAGAATCCTGTTTCAGGCTTCAGAGTCACATTTAGAGGCCAGTCCTGTCAAAGGACAGTTATGTGCATAGTCCCAGCAAAGCCATTTGGGTAGTTGCCTACTGAGCTAACCCAGATGGAAAGTAACTTAATAGAAAAATAATGTGGTGTAGTTTACTGTTTACCTGCACCAGCAGCTCTGCCAGTGTGAAACAAAGAGAAACAAGCAGGTGAGAACAGACTGTCAGGGCTGAGGCTATTTAGGGGCCTCCCCAGAACTGCATGTGAACTGGGACTGTGCTTGTCTCAGAAGAAATGCAGGTGGAATAGCACACAAGGGAGAAAGCATATAATCACCTTTGCATGCCACCTTTCTTTGTGCTTTCAAGTTTTATGTTGAAGATTACCACCTACTGTTAAGCTCTTACATTATTACACATACATTTTATAAAACTAAAAACCTTGTTTTGAAAGAATTAGGAGCTTGAGGTGTGTATAGTGCTTAGTTTAAAAATAAAGTAAAAAAAAAAAAAGCACATTCAGGTAATTGAATTCATGTAATTAATTAAAGGTGGTAAGGCTAGCTTTAGGCAGTTATTTAAGGAAGTAAACATTGTAATCTAGATCCCACTGAATTGGTCCTGACTTCTTTCAGAGTGACAATGAAGCACTTTTTCTGTTAACATTTTTAATGTTCTTCCTGCCTAATTTCACAAAAAAATTTTCACAATCTTCTCCTACTATTTCCTAATGCAGGCTGATGCATTTGTATATGCAAAAGATCTTGCCAAAGTCTTTTCAGATGGATTTCATTTGAAGAACTTAATATGTTTACAACAACAGAAGTACCAAACAGATTTTGAATCATTATCACTAATTGTAATTTATAAGTGCTGTATTTTAAGATAGATTATCCGTATGGTTACAAAGCTGGCCAGCTCAGGTCCACTGATAAAATTATTTTGAGTATTTTCATGACAGGCCTCCAGGACTTCATCCTCTAAAGATGTGCTGTCCAATACCTCCAGCTATTACAGTAATCTTTTTTTTTAAATATATATATTGAAGATGTTTACATGATGATACAGTCTGAGTTTTATTGTTCTTAGTTGTTACAATAATACATAATTTTCCATTTGCAAAGCTGAAGGATGATCTGTAGTTTTATCATTTTCATAACCTACCTAGCTTTTCCTTTGTTTTAGCTTTAATTGTTTTAAAAAACAGAAACAAGTCTTTCAGTGTTGAATGGTGGAATTGAAAATTAGTTAACTGAATTTATAACTCTGGTATTTGTATATCTGAGTATCTGAGCCTTTACGCTGGCATCCACTGAATTCTGTAAACTGGTACTTGTGGTTAGGCAAGTCTTTTGCAGTAGGTTTTCAAGAAGTACTGTCAGGCAATTTGATTCCATGTTCCTGTTTTATTCTCTGGAAAAGCATGAAACCACCTGGGCGATTGCAACAAGAGCTTGCAGTTAGCTTTTAACTGCTGAGGTTGTTTCTTCTGGCCCGAGCTCTTATCTCAAGGGATGCAACTGCAAGTGTACCTTAAGTATCACTTTGTTCATTTGGGGTTCCATTGCAGGACATGACCTAAACATGAAATGAGCTATTCTTAAAAATCATTGTGCAAATTGGAATTAGTATTCAATGTAAATCCCTTTTCCATCTCTTAGAAGCAGAAAGTGGGAGCAAGAAGCTCAAAACCTGAGCAACCTGCTGTAGTTGGCCCTGCCCAGAGGATGGGGGTTGACTTAGGTGATCTTCAGAGGTCTCCTTCAGCATCAACCATTCTGTGGTTCTGTAATGTCCAGTATCAGTAGGCGCGTATGTGCCTATGTACATAGGCAGATCAAGCCAGGGAAAGAGTTTTCCCGCTATAAACACACTTACTTCCATAGAAAGCTGTGAAGCAGGACCTTCTTTGACCTGGAATTTGATGTTTCACATTTCCAGTGATAAAGATGTCTAACTGAGTTATTTTAACTATACTCAGCAGGGAAGTTAGTGGTAATGGCAGTGAAATGCTATCTTTAAGAATCAGTTATTTTTGTATGATGAATATTCCCCTTCCCCCATCACTCTCAATGTTAAAACCTAGTCTACAATGATCCCTCTTTTATACAGTTGTTTAGAATTTTTACTTCTTTAGGATTATGTGATTGGGAAAGATTAGTAGGATTCAGTTCAGGAATTCAATATTTTGCTCGTTTTAAAGTATTGCCTGTTTCTAAAATAGTCTGAAAATCTCTGTAAGTAGTTTTCATTATTTCTTATAAAGTAGGTTTATATGCCAGTGGCTTAGTGAAATTACTTGCATGTTCAGAGATTGTATTTGTTTAGTTTTTAACAAATTATATTCTGGGGACGTTTTACAGTTTTAGAAGATTTATTGTGCTGCATTTTATGGCAGTTTCTTCTGCCTGCTCTGGAGCACGTGCCATGGTGGTTTTAAGTGTGCTGTGGATGTTTGACAAGTTAGAAACTTAGCAATCCCCATCAGTGCTTAGCCACACTGTCTCAGGCTTTGTTTTTGTTGGCTGGTATCCAGTACCATGCTATAAAATACATTTACTTGACAGTAGAAAGTGGAGAACCACATTAACTACAAAGTTTTAAAAGGCTGGCTAAACACATGCAATAAATATTAATAAAAGAAAAGGCCACCCACCTTTGACCCTCAATGCTTGTTATTAGCTTTGTATGTTTTAGAATTACAGTAACATTTTGAGTAATAGCATTATATAACAGTACGTAAAAATATCTTATTCAAATCAAGCAACTTGTTAACAACCTTGTATTGATTATTTTGGTATCTTGTGGCAGGGATTATACTGCATTGCCAGAAACTTGCTTTTTTTTAGATAACTCTGAAGTATAAGTTTGTTGCCCTTTTGTTGTCTCGTAATAAATATGCCAGATGTATTTGTACCTGTAAGTACAGGGGAAAGTGTAATGTTGTATGTGTTTATATGTAATGGGCAGGATGTTTTATAGAACAGCCTTGTAAAGACTGATCAGTTGATTCATGTAAACTCATCTCACTCATTTTTTTTTTTCATTTATACAAGAACACCAAGCAGAAAAACAGTTCTAAAAAAAGTCATCCTTCATCTTGTACTAAAATGAAAATGTAATTCATGATGGATGAGTGGGCTTCAGATTTTTTTCCAGTACTTTTTTTTGTTAAATGCCTTGTAACATTCAAAAAAAAGAAAAAAAAAGTAAAAAAAAAAAAAAAAAAAAAAAAAAAGTATGCAAACCAAACCAGAGATAGGAAGGAATGTGAAGTGGGAAGAGTGATAGAGTGATTCACTGTTCAATAGAGCTTATGCATAATCATTCTCTTCTGATTAAGTGGTTGTCACCTCCCAAGTTAATGCCTTTGTTTCATTTGCACCCCCTAAGTATATTTTTGCTTTGTTTATTTCTCTGGGTGAGAGACTGGTGTTTTCCGTGTTGTGACTTTAATGTACTGTGTTAAGTAAAATAAATGAGTAAATAAACTACAGATACTTTCATGATAGATATATGTAAGTGGTTGAGTATTGAATTAATTCATTTTGAAAAGTCTATAGTTTTTTGTGTTTTTAAAGGTAAAGGGAAAAAAGGCTAGAAAAATCACAATTCAGTGAAACGCTAACACGGTGATGCATACTGTTAGTTCTGGATACATTTATTATACAGCTAACAAAAACACTGTCAAAACACTGTTATATATCTAACAAATAGTTACGGGGTTTTTGTTTGTTTGTTTGTTTTTTCTTTCAGTTAGATGCACACATGATTTTTGTTAGTATTGAGTTGTGTTGTCCTTCCTGGCAGATTGTGACCGCTTCTTTGGCACTCTCATAAATCATGGCAGTCTTGCAGCTTTTCTGGGTTGACCTGCTGATTCAGATTTAGTGCAGTGATCAGTCACGTGGAGAACCACTCTGTGTGTATAAAAGAAAAGTACTATTAATGTCTGAAAATGACTTGTACAGACAAGAAGGGTGACAGAGCTGTGAGACATAAGCTTCAAATAACAAGTTTTCCTGGATCTTTAGGAGAAGAAGGATCCAAGAGTTGAATATCAGACATTTGTCTGTTCTGCATTCAGCAAGTGAAAGGTCAGCACTGTGTGAAAGAAAAATAGATAACGTAAGGAACAGGGTGGAAGAACTAAGGATTAAAAAGAAAAATGCAGAAGTCATGAAGGCTTGTACTACTATATCTGAAGCACTTCATTGTTCTCCTTCAAATCCTGTTTAGTGTTCCAATTCCATTATGCCCACGAAGACCCTGGAGCAGTTAGGCTGTGGAAACCACTGTTTTTTCTCACTACCGCCCATTTGTACTTCCTTCTCTGCCTACATCCTTGTGTTGTCACTCCTTTTACATTGTGTTCTGCTCTGGAGAAGAACTTTTACTCATTCGTTTAGTCACATTCATTCATGTATTCAATCTTGTTTGTACTACAGTGTAGGGTCTGCTTTTTGACAAGATGAATATTAATCCTAAAATCTAAATGAATGAACAACTAACTGTCAATATGTTGCTTTATTTCAGAGTGTTGTGCGTTGCCTTTGGCATCCCAAGCTGAATCAGATCATGGTTGGTACAGGAAATGGATTGGCAAAAGTGTACTATGATCCTGTTAAAAGCCAGAGGTATGTAATAGTTAGTGGTTTATAATTAGGATTTCTCAGACATAGCCTGATGCTATAATTATACTAAGAGATGAGAAAAAAAAAGAGTTAGTAGCATTTGCTTTGCAGTTTTAGCTACTAAGTTACAAAAAAACAACAACAACAACAACAACAAAAAAAAAAAACACAAAAACAAACCAACAAAAAAAACAAAACCACAAAAGTTTGTACTTGAAAAGCAGTGCATTTTCCTCCAGGCTCTCTGTGGTGCTGTACACTGGCAGTTCTACCTGAATTTACAAACGCTTCCATTCTTGAATTGTATGAAATTTTCTGTAAGAATAACCAGCCTTTCATTTTACCTCTTGAAGACTGCTGAAATGGTGTTATTGAAAGGCTACTTATTGAATTTAGTAATATTTTTGTCATATTTTGTCATATAGATGTATTTTTGTCATATTTTATTTTTTATGAAGTACAAATGCTGTTTAGAAGCATTAGCTTAAACTTGTCAGTCTGTGTATTCATGTTAGAGGACTCGGTTTGAGACCTTGCCATCTCTCCCACCCTCTCCTGTCACGTGTGGATTTTGCCTGTGTATCTAATGGAAGGGTGGCAGTGATTCATCAGAAGGTGACTTGTCAGCCTAGAATGAAAAGAAGAGGATTTAACTAGTCTATAAATACTTACACAATTAACTTGCTTTTACCCTCTAAATTGGCTGGGGTACTTCCTTCCTTATCAGCTGAGGAAGAATGCATACTTCATATATAGAGTGATATAAATATGTTCTTCCAAAGCCATTGACTTTGTTTCACTTGCATCCAAAAACATATTGTATTATAGTTCGTAGTTCTGGATATTTACTGTGGCCTGGCGATAGGAATATGAAAATAAATTCTGGTTTATAAGATATTTCTAACTAAGTATTATTTTTCTGTTCTTTCTCATTTTAGAGAACAGGAGGGAGGTTCGTCAGCATTGTTTGTTGACTCTCTCCAGAGTGCAGCCTGAGACTCCTGTACAAAGACCACAAAAGCCTTAGCTCAGTTCTGTACCCAGTTTTATTCCTAGTACTTACAGAAAGAAGGAAAATAATACCAGTTTAAATTAGTCCTGCTGCAACAAGGCTTCTGCAGAGTTTCCCAGTGCAGTGTTACAAACACCTCTGATTAGATAACTACAACAACCCAGGCTGCATAGGAAGGGTACTAAGGGTACTAATCATTGCCAATATTTGGAGAAGAGCACTTCCTGTGTGCATGCTGCAAGTACTGTGGACAAATGAAGTGTGATATGAATCTTCCACCCATACTTCCACCAGTCGTATAAACTGATCTGTAATAAAAGAACGAATCTTTTTGCCCTCCTTCACATGTGCGTGGACGTACCAAGATATACACAGTCATGCATATTTAAAGTGCTGTATAATTCAGTTGAGAATATGTTTTGAATAAAAAATGGTTTGTATTTGATATAAACTGACCAACTGAACTGCTGTGTGTTTTCTCCTAGGGGAGCAAAATTATGCGTGGTCAAAACAAAAAGAAAAGAGAGACAAGCAGAGACTCTTACTCAGGATTACATTATAACACGTAAGGAATTTAAACATCTCTTTATATGAGCATTCTTACATCTTTCTTAGTTATCGTATTATTTGCAGATGGTTTACTTTTATGTTTTCCCCTCTAAATAGTTGCAATCATTCCTTAAGTATTGAGTGCTACATACAAATTTATTTATAGCCCTGCAAAACTGGAAAGGGGTGTATTTGGTATGCCCTGTAATAGTTAAAGGTGGTTGTTTTCTTGATTATGATGCAAGTTCCATGCATCGGAAAGGACAACTGCTTTAAAAAGTTGGGATGACCTTTTGCAAGAATTTTGTATTCAAAAACAACAACAAGAAAAAACAACCAGCAACCAAAAAAACAGACAAACAAAAAACACCAACACTTACACTCCAATATTCTTTTCTTCCTTTATTGAATTTTCAATTTTACTTAACTAAGTCTGTGAATTGGTGAGTAGAGATGAGTTGAAGAAGCCTTTCGCTGCCTGGGAACATCAATAGTACCAGTGGCAAAATCAGAGATGTGAGCATTAGTTCTTGAATAAATTCCTAGAGATCTTTCAAGATTTAGAACTTGCCTAGAGATGCGTGGGTTTTCAAATAGTTAAAATATCTTTCCAGCTTACAGGTTATACTCTAAGACCTCATGTTCTTATTAAGACTCATTGATGCACAAGAAATAGTTATTGTTGTTACTGTAGAAAGTTTAATGACCTGCATTTTCCCTAGGGCATATTTTATAAGGGGACAAGGGGATTGAGAGATTTTGGCCTTCCCAAATAGTACTAGCTTCTTTGAAACTTGCTGATAGAACTAGAAAGAACTGAAGATCTCAGAAATCCTTTCCAAAGTGAATCAACCCCTTTTTCATCCTCCTCTACTTGATTTTTTTTGAACTTGTAGCTGCTCTTTAATCTTAGGATTGCCTATAATAGCTGCTTAAAATGCAATAATATTTTCTGAGAGATTAGGTATTACTTTTAAAACACAGGAATATGCAGCTTCGGTTTCCTTTGGACAACCTTGACTTTGCATATGGAAAAAGCTTGGATCTGTGCATTAGTCACCTGAGATGCTCTATGCAAACCAATCAACCTCATTGCTTTGAAATGCCTGGGACAATTTATTGCTGTACTTTATGAAATCTGCAAAAATAAAACCTAAACACATATTCCCCAAGATCTACTGCTGTGTCATTTGGCTGTGACTTTACATGGTCTAGTAAACTGAGCAGGCTTCCATAAGTAAGCTGGAAAATCAAAGTGAGAGGTCTCTGGATGCTGACTTCATTTTTTTCCTTATTAAATGTAGAGCCAGTTCCTCTACACTTAAGATTTTGTTTGTTTTGGTTCTGTCTTTGTTGGGTCTTTTGACCCCTACACAATTTCCTGCAATTTGGGAAACAGCAGCAATCATCATACGGCAGTGTTTTGCCTCACCAGAAGAAAACTGTCCCTTAAAATGGTGTTTCTTTGGTGCTGACAAAAGTGCCTCTTGTCTGAGCTGACTGAAACAGCACATAGGTAAATGATTGTGATTGAAGGTATTGCAGCAGTTTTATGATGAAAAACGGGCTTTAAATCCTGATGGTTTAGTCAAACTGTCTCAATTACGGGTATTTTTCCAAATTTGATTAGTGTCATAATTTAAAAAAAAAAAAAAAAAAGCGAATATGACTTCATTTGCAGAAAAACCATGAACCAGAAATGCATGTAAAGTTTTTTATGCTACTGGAGTATTAAAGTGCTATAATAAAATGGAATATTCAGAAAAGAGCAGCCAGTTGTTCACAATGCTAATGTTGAGGACTCAATGTCAGAGGAGTAGATTATATGTACATATACTATGCAAACAGTATTTCAGATGAAAAACTGCTACCTGATACAACTGTGGAAATTTGACTACGTTCATGTTTGAAAAATTCATCAGGAAGAAGCTCTCTAAAATGTACCTCAGTAAACCATTGCTTGGATACAGTAAAAGCAGAAGGCTGCTTCTGCCACCTTTCTTTTTGTATAAACAAATGACTCTAACCCTTTCCTTTGTGTGGAAAAAATCCTTGCAGTCTTCACCCTTGTAATTAAAACATTGAAAAGATAATGGAATTTCTGATGTTTCTTTATCTCCAAACTGTGACTCTTTAGCCCATGCACTTCCCATGTTCCGTGAACCACGACAGCGAAGCACCAGGAAACAGCTGGAAAAGGATAGGCTGGACCCCATGAAGTCTCACAAACCTGAACCTCCAGTAGCAGGACCAGGTAATGTAGTCATAATCGCTTCATGCTGTTGTATACCAAATGGACTGTAATGCTTGGGTTCTGTGTGTGTTTGGATTTGCATTCAAACATTTTTGGGTGGGGGACTCTGCTATATGTGTGAGCAGCGTCCAGAACTGTTAGACACTGGTCTTTGGAGTGCTTGCCAAAAATAATCACAATTCCTTCATGTAATCAGTAAAATGTGTATGTGAATGCAGCTCTAAATTAGGCTCTTCCTGTAATATTAGATAGCTTCTTTGTATCAGATCACTGTTATAGACAAAATATAACATTTTTCTGTTTATTTCTTAAATATTTTTCTTTAAAACAGTCATTTAATTTATTTTTTTTGCTACAGGTCGTGGTGGCCGTGTTGGGACACACGGAGGTACCTTGTCATCATACATAGTCAAGAATATTGCACTGGATAAGACAGATGACAGCAACCCTCGAGAGGCTATTTTACGTCATGCAAAGGAAGCAGAGGAGAATCCATACTGGGTTGCTCCAGCATATGCTAAGTAAGGAAGCAATTAAAAATACAAGTAATATTTCTGGAGACCAGTGGGAGTTTGTAAAAATAGAAGACATACATTTTTAACAGTATACTTTGCCTTTTCTGGCTTGTTGCCATTAATACGTAAACCAAGAATATGTCACACTCCTATATGAAGATAAGAGTTTCCAGGAGGTTAAATTTTTAAAATGTGACATTACCATTTTTAAAATTTGACTGTCAGTGCTACAAAATTCTAAAGCTTTCTAAATTTGCTAGTCTTCTACAAATCAGTATGAGAAATTATAATATACCTTTTAATAAGGTACTGTCCCATGGGCAGACTTTGGGGTGATGCTTTCCGACATACCCTCTAGCTCCAACTGGGCCTTAGGTTAAACCTTCAAAAATATTTCCTTGGTGTTATGACAACATATTTTAGATGATTTCTTAGGTATCATAAATAATTTGGATTTTTCCTATATCAGGACCTGAGTACTGCTTGAATTAACTTGGTCTTAAATGTATTAAATATTAAAAATTACACTGATCGTTGAACTCAGTTTAAATGGTATGTAAGAGTGCGGTATTTATCCATATCTGTTACAATGAAAACTGTGCAATATAATTCTTTACTCGTTTCTACCAAATATCTTCATTTTCTAAGAATAAGTGCAATTCAAAACATTAAATAATTCCATGGTAATACTAAAATACATACTAAATAAATGTGTTTCATACTAAGGTACAGAAACTGCCACTTTAAAAATTAGTACTTTTTTTTTGTATTTTGCTATTGTCATTGATGGTTTTTGTTGTACAAAGTAATTATCTAGTAGGAGTAATATTTCCAAAATGCATAAGGAAGGGTTATGAAGCGATTAAATGGTCTGCATAGAACAGGCAGAGCTAGTAACAGCCTTTTATTTATTTATTTATTTATTTATTTTTATTTTTTTAATTTGCAGTCCATTGTGTTATATTCTGGGCTGTACTTTCATTGGGACTTTATTTACTATACTTTCTTTATTAGTTTTTAGCTCCGTAATGAAAAACAAACAAACAAACGAACACATCTTTCCAGAATATCAGAATATATTAAGAATCATTGCTCTTTCTTGCGGTGATGCTTATTTCCCAGCTTGACCCACAATAGCTTTTCCAAAGCAGCTTGAGAACATTAGTGGCCCACCCTGGCTTTGGCTAGGTAATTAATAAGTATGACATTGTTGTGAAGTACATCAAATCAATGTGTTATACAATATCACTCTTGATACCAAGTCAAAGAAAGGTTTGACAAAGCCTGTTTCTGTAACAGTTGTAGTAATGAATAGGCTAAATTTGTAACTCTTTGAGGGTTTATGTTTCCTAGAGGTGAAATTTACTGTGAATGTGCAGGTACCTGTTTTTATTTAGTATGTACAACTATTCATTCTTAAAAGTAAACACAGTCACACATTCCGTTAGGTAGATAGATACCTCAGTATATTTTTGGCTCAGTAACTTCATTGACTGTATAGTAAGTTTCACCCCCACACCTGCAATGTAGTAGACAGGAAAGTTTTAAAATTTAGCTACATTACAGAAGGCTTACTGTGTCAGGTGGGCAGATCTCATTATGGTTTCTTGTTAAAAGATGTAGCTGCAGGGAAAGAAGAGAGCTGACTGAGAAATGGGGAGGAAGCAAATCCAGACTGCTATTAACTTACGCACCAGAAGGTGATACGTATGTGGGGGAGTTGGGCTGCAGCCAGCGGCATGCTTCCTTGACAGTTTTGTCAGCTGATAAATCTCATGCCAAGGAAACTGCCTCTATCCTTGCTTTAGAAACTTGACTTCAAGACGCACCCTATGCAAAAAGCTTTTTAAAGCTTCATTGTTATTATTTTTTATTACTTTTTATTATTATTTATAAAACACTAAGGCACTGAAATGCAATAACTTTATAACTGTGGTATGTTCTTAACTCTCAGAAACAGAGGTCTGCATCAAAAGTTACAAACCAATGACGGTCATAGGTTTCATTAACTGCTTGCCTGGTCATGTGCATAATATATAGAGATGTGTTAATTATGTAGTTGATACCTTACTTTGCAAGGTGGATGTGTTTACCTTGTGTAAAAACCATTTTACAGACCTCCTTACAGATGCATATTTAATAAATTTGCTAAGTACAAATAATTGATGTAAAATATCACAGAATGTTGTGTAGGAAGTGTGTCGCCAGTGACCCTGTAAAAACTGGGTTCATGATAATAAGCAGTATATAAACCTTAGGAAACTGGCTCCCTTAGATATATGTAATGTATCTATTCTAGCATAACCATAAAATCATAGAATGGCTTGGGTTGGAAGGGACCTTAGGGATTACCTAGTTGCAACCTCCCTGCCATGGGCAGGGACACCTCCCACTAGGTTGCTCAAAGCCCCATCCAGCCTTGTTTTGACCAAGGATGGGGCACCCACAACTTCTCTGGGCAACCTGTTCCAGTGCCTCAACACCCTCTCAGTGAAGATATTTTTTTCATAACATCTAATCCAAATCTACCCTCTTTTAGTTTAAAGCCATTCACCCTTATCCTAAAATATACTAAAGAGTTAGGAAAGGTAGTATTCTGATATATACTTAAAATTACGTGCTGCCTTGAGACCTGGGAAATACACAACCAGCACGTTTAATTTTTTTCAGTGCTGTTTATTCTTTTTACCACTTTTTCTGCTATCAATTTTTCCACATATGTGGTAACCTTTCATTTAAATATGATATGAGTATCCACATTTCTCTTGTTTGACAAAGCTTTTGTTTGTGTACTACCTCATAGATGGTTTTTCACATACAGTTTTCCATTTTCCTTCTTAAGAAAACATCTAAGAAAAAGATAGTCATTTTATTTTCTTCAGTGATGGATCTAAAGTAATTTTAGTCCAAAAAGACTAAGAAACACTCATTTTCTTATCAATAATGCTTTTATAACTTGGATTATGGTGACAGGGTTAGAGTTGATCTGGTCCTGATTTGTAGTGAAAGGTCATTCTAAATCAGATAACTGATTTTGTGGTTTTTAACTGTGTTTCCACTTCAGCAATTCATATAAGAAATACCTGTGGCATGAATTTTACCGTTAGTTTATACAATGTATGTTAAAAAAAATCCTTTTCATCGGAGTTTAAGGTGTGTAATCTATTCTTGAAGCCAAGTAGTTATTTGCATTATTTATCACTTGAAATTTTTTTCAAGCTTGTTATTGTTAACATGATCTTTCTGTTTCTCCTGTAATTTGAACCAGAAAAGGAGGGGGAAGCACATAAGTGGCAAAAGGATGGGTGGAAAAAACAGATGCTGCTGAAAAGGATATTGGGAAATGATAAGAAGTACATGCTGAATCAGCACATGACATATCAAAGAAGGCCAAAGTGAATAAATTGTCAAAAAAAAAAAAAAAAAAAAAAAGAAAAAGAAAAAAAAAAAAGGATGACCTTGAGATTTTTCAGGAAAAAGCTTGTTAGAGACCTTGGCAAGAGTTGTTCCAGTGGAGTGAAAGGAAAGGAAGGACAGATTGAAGATTTCAAATAAAGAACTACAGGAAAGGAACTTGAGGCATCAGTTGTAAATGTTTGAAAATTACATTCTTTGTGAGCTGTTTGTTTTAACACAGCTGTACAGAGATACTATAATGACTTCAGATTTCCCTCTGAAGGATCAGCAGGAATTACTAAGCATTGTAGCTGAGGGCCTAATCAGGCCCAGATGTATCTTTCTTCTGTACCACAGAGAAGGTGAGGGTGAAACTTCCCTTCTCATCAAAACAGACCACAGTTCTTATGAAACAGTGATGTTGCCCGTATTTTGATGTCTTTGTCATTGGTCCTTGTCATAGGCAAAAAAGAATAACATCAAGCAGCAACCTGTAGCCTCCCTGTGTTCAATGCTCTTTTCCTCAACAGCATTACCAGCATGTGAAGTGTTAGACATATTGTGGCTCACGTATCTTTAGTTGAAGGAGGACTGGACAGATCATTTTAGAACAGTGATTTCGCAGACACATGTTAGTAAATTTTGGAGACTGTCAATTTTGAGAGGGAACTACCTGAGATTCAGGAAGGAGTCAGGTTAGCTGGTGGGCTAAGGAATACAGGGGGCCTGACGCTGAAAAACCTCTTCTTTTCTGTCTGAAAGTAGCTTTTCTGACATTATTTTTCCATAGCATGGAAAAATAATTTCCAAGCATGCTTGGAAGTTATCTTTTTTAATCTGCTTCAGTGCAAAATAAACACAAATTTCAAAAGTTGCTGTGACATGAGTCACATGCTGTGATACGCCGTTGTCATCTCCAGCTGGTTTAACTATAGCAGTATTTTTTAGCTGCTAGTCTGTGAATCACAGCTGTTAATGGGCTACTTTTACAGGATCTTTAAAAGGTAACTAATTAAAACAGCTGATAATCAGAGGGATTATGGTGACTAGAACAGTCTGCATGGCCACTGGAATTTTGTGTGTGTGTTTACATATCTGAATACACTGAAAAACAGTGAGGTAAAGAGGAGTGCTCAGAAAATCATATGAACAAATTAATAAGAATAAATTGACTTAGTTTGTTTTTCCAGTTTTTGTTGCGACCTTTCAGTGTAACCTACAATATGAATGTGTTTGTCGGTGTCTGAGATACTGGTTTTCTCTCATAGTCATGCGAAGACTCTGACCGCACCTCTTCTCTCTAGCCTCTCATGATGTAGTTGTAGACAGCACTGAGATCCCTCTTTAGCCTTCTGTTGTTAAGGCTAAAGAGACCCACTTCTCAGCTTTATAGTATATGGTGGGTTCCAGCCCCCTAACTATCTTGGTGATGGCTTTCCACTATTCTCAAACCAGCTGGATAGTCCACCACTGACACAGTTTGTCACTGTATGCCGAAGTCTCTTGTCCTGGAGAGCCCACAAATGGCCATGCTACTTCAGATGTCATTTCACAAGTGCTGAGTAGAGGGGAAGTTAGCTATGTTGTCCTGTAGTTCCCCAAATCCTCCTCTTGCCCTTCATAAAGATGAGTATGTTGTCTTTCCAAGTCATTGGAAACCTCCTCTGATCACCATCATTTCTCAACGGTGATAAGGGGAATGGTAGAATCCCTGGAGGTTTTGAAGGTGTGATTGGACAGGGTGCTAGATAATCTCATATAGGGTCCCTTTTCCCAGAAGAGATTGGACCCGGTGTTCCGAGGTCTCTTTGAACTTGGGCTCTTTGATATTTGATTACATAGCTCCTAAGGACAAAGATCAGCTTTCTGCAAGTGTTTTTTAGCCCTCAGAAATTAAAGTATTTTGAAGCAGTGAAACTGTTTTGATAATTTTTTGTATAAATATTAATCATGCAGAAAACTCCTACCACATTGGCAATCTCTAGTGCAGTTACTAAGCAGAACAATGTGTGTTTATCAGGTCAGGCATATGAATTACCTTGGGTGTCCCAGTTACTGCTGTATAGCTTGTGGAGGTGGATCAGTTTACATTTCAGCTGAGCTGAGGCTACAGCCGTTTCATGCTAATTTTAAAAAACAAGATAGCAGGCAAACTTAATTTCCTCTGCGTGTTTTCTCTTGAGCTGGTTACGGCTAGATTATGCTACAGTGTCATCCGTGTCCCCCCACCCCCTCCACCCGCCCACATCTTCACTGGACTCAGAGTAGCTTACTAATATTTACTGAAACCTAAAACTTTTCACTGCGCTACTTATATCACGGAAAATACATAGCTTCTGGTGCTTGTTCCATGAATTAAGTAATTCTTCTTGAATGGAAGTTTCTGAGAAAAATTGTGACAGTTGAATTTTCCTGGTCAGAAGTGATTGGTTTAGACTTTAGGAGCTGTGCTTTACTAACAAATAACTCGAGCTGACCTGATAAGATCCTGTATGGCATTTAGATATCTTTCTTCTGAATATTGTGTTAGAAGGAAGGTACACTGCTAAAATGGCGAAATAAACTATCATCAACAGGTTTTGAAAAAATACGAGAGCAAGAAGATTCCAGGCATTCCATTTCTTCAGCAGACAACAGAATCCAGTATTTGAGCCAATAAAGCCTTCATCCCTGGTGGCTGTTTTGGATCTCATATCGATTTTTTTTTTTTCCTGAGTCGTCTTTGAGAGATTGCTTAAGTAGAGTTCGTGTAACTATTTTCCGACGATGCTTTTTAATTTGGAGAATGTTGAGAGATTTTTTTTTTTTTTTTTTTTAACTTGTAATTCTGCTTTCCATGGAGAGCAGAATGACTTTTCTAACTTCCAGTAGTTTAGGTCCTCATCTGGGTTCAAGATCTACTTGTGTGTAATGAGATGTACAGCTCGCACCAGAGGAACGTGCTAATAGAGATCTCCATAGGACCATCTCTGGGACATTTTGCCTCTGTCTACCTCCATGGCAGGGTTAGAGGATGGAGAAGGGGGCAGGCCGGTAGGAAGATTCAGTGTATACAGCAAGTTGTCTTTGACTAGTTTTGGTACCTTTGTATCTACTTCGTGCTGCCTATTTAACAACTGGAGAATCCTTTTTTTTTCTCTTTTTTTTTTTTCTTTAATGACAGATGGCTTGGTATTGTATTACTCTTCAAAAGCAATGGCAACATTGAATTATGCCTGTTGTGTTAAGTAAGGCAGACGCAATTTTGTTAAGCTTTATGCATCTTGTAGAGTGTGACAAATAACAGTTGTTATAACAATAGTTAGTGCTTCATGTTCTCACACTGCTGTGAAAACATTATTTAATATCTTAACGAGATGATGACTGCCTTGGCTGCTTTTTATACTTTTTTTTTCTGTCTTTGTTGTTATGAGAATTTGAGCACAGCCAACTTCAGAAATCCAGTAGCATCAGCTCCACAATGATTGTGCAAAGAAATAGGTTGGAAAAGGAGACCATGCAGTGATTAAAGTGTAAAACAGGGTAACTGAATGTCCAAACGGTTTGTTAAAATGCTGTGTTTGTTAATACTGTGTTCATTTAAAAAGTAATCGATAATTATTTTTATAAAGTTTGTGGTATTTAAAATACAGGTAAACAGTGGAGGAATAGATACTGTCAAGGTTGACTGTAGGATATACTGTGTTCTCATATGAAGATCATTAGTTTTATTATGTTACGGTAGTGCTGGATAAAGACTCTGGAGGATAAAACTTTTTTTTTTTTTTTTTTTTTTTTTTTTCATGCATAGGCTAAGCCAGAAACCATGTTGTTCTGTTTTCACTTACTGGCTCCCATCATACTGCAGTGAATCAAAATGGAGGTTTTTTTTTCTGAATAATGTAATGAGTAGAATTGTAGCTCCACTTTTCTGGTGTTCTACTAAACTGACTTTTTCCTCTCATCTGGCTTAATTTTATTCATGGAATAAACACATAATGATTGAAGGCTAATGAGGAAATAATACTTGCAGAAGATGTGTATTTGTTATGCTGCTCTTCATACTTTTGCTCTTTGCCCAAGAGCTGAAAGTTCCTTCAGCTCTTAGAAGGTTAGTGGACAGGATTTTTTTGAGAATAGAAAACAAGTAAATCTAGGATACTTTTTTTGTTAAGTGTAAAGGATGTCATTTGTGTTTAATATATGTCTAATGCAGTTTCTGTTATAGAATTGTAGCCTAATCATTATTTTAATCTTTTTAATATTTTCTAGAACGCAGCCAAAAACAGTTTTTGCAGAAGTGGAACCAGAAGATGATGAAACAGACAAGCCAGAATGGAAAAAACGTAAAATTTGAAGAATTTGGTATAACGAATACTTCAAAAGCATTTGAAACAAAGTGCAGCATTTTTTTTTTCTTCTGGTTATTGGGTCAAAATTTGAAAGCATAAAATACTTCAGCTAATAAAGCTTGCTACAGTGTAAAAGGGAATGTATTACAATAGATTGTAATCCCACATCTGAATTTATAATAAGGAATGATTTATTTTATGCAATGGAGAACTCTTCCCTGTCAGTTATTTAACTTCATGATTTAAGTGGAAAATATTGGTATCTAATTTTTAATAGAACTCTAGTGAGTCCAGTGTTTTACCAAATGTTTTTTTTAAAGCCAACTTTACTAATGCTGTGTCACAACAGTGTACAATGATTTCGAGTATATAAATAAAATAATGCAGTTTCTCAGGCTTTTTTAATTTTTTCTAGTAAGGTCTGATAAGCTATCCCAAATAAAGAAAGCTTACACTTTCATTTAGATTTACTAATGTGAAATGGTCTACTTTAGTTCACTTGTGTTTAAATTTTAGAAAAAAATATCTAGTGTTTATCCTTAAATAAATGACATCCCTTTTAAGTATGTGTAGTGTCTCACAGTAGGCAATTTATATGGCTTTTATTTTTCAAAAATATAAATAGGAATGAACAATTATAGATTTTGTTTTAATAAAAACAACATACGTTTGTTGCCTAGTTGATTTTGTTCAGGCTTCCTGTCCCTATTAGTTTTGTATTGATTAGCATTAGGATAGAGCAGACTTATGTTTATTACCATGTCTTTGTATATATTGATATTATAGTATAAATGAATTATGTACATCTTGGTTCACACTCTCTGAAAACTGATACTATCCTTTATAAAGTCTCTTATATAAGTATTAAAAGTTTGAAGTTTTTAACATGGAATTGCAATTCTGAATTTAATAAAGCAAAGGATAAATTTAAAACCAATGTCCTCTAGAGAAGGAGAAATGAACCTGTGTTAGATTTAGGCATTTATATTGTGATTATAATAATATATAATAGGTATTGTGATTAGAATAGTATGCAATACAGTGAGCACTCTGCATTTGCACTAAGAGTAGAGAGCAGGAGACATCATAACAATCAAGCTTTCTTAATTATGAATAGATTTGAAGGCATAATTTAAGGCTATATTTAACCAGCACTTAATCACCTTCGTAACTTTTAAGTGCATGGTCCTGATAGAATCAGCAAAACTTAGTTGTTTTTTTTTTTTGTTTTTTTTTTTTCTTACAGCATTGTTCTGCATCTCAATTTTATTGTATAATTTCTTTTTCCAAAGTTATCTTTTTCTCAAAAAACATTTCTATACATTAGGAAAAAATAAACCTGACCTCAGAAAGTGTTGTGAGCATTGGAATAACATTCCCAAAATTAAGTATTTCCACAGCTTTCACTCAATATAGTCTTTTGATGAGTGAAACCTCACTAAACAATCCACAGCTTGTCTTTCTCCCTTGTAAAAAATGTTTTAGTACGTGCTTATCTAGAATAGCAAATAAATACTTAGTTTACAGTTACAGCTGTAATATGTAGAACAAAGGACTTAATACCTAGGTAAGCAGTAAATGGAAGAGAAAAAGAAGTAGAAGATGAAGAGCAGCAGTTGCCAATGCAGCCTGCTAAAGACCTCATTGTTTAATGTTTCCCTCAGCAAGGTAACGTCAAATGGCATTGTTTCATTTAAGGGTATTTTTTGTCTTTTCTTTATCCATATAATTCACTAGAAAATAAAGCATTTTCAAATAAATTTCTGTAAAATCTTGAATAATGTTTTTAAAGGTTTGATATGTCCATGGCGTTAGGATGAATAATAACAGTTAATTATTTTTTTTTGTTAGAATTTGTTCACTGAGACAATGTGGCTAGTAGGAAACAGAGCAGGAGGGAAAGGCAGGTGAGGAAAAACACTGCAACTGTTCTCTGAGCTTGAGGGAGGCATCTTCTTTCATGTTATTTATTCAGATCTTGTTTCCTAATTCTTAGAAGAATGAGTTCTGCAGATGAACCTTGCAGAAGTTCTGTTAGAATTACTCTAAGAGCCTGTTGTTGTTACTTACAATGGTTAAGTTCCCAATTGTCTCGAGTGACCGTTTTAGCAGCCTAAAATTTAAAATAATGTCTGTGCAGAAATGTATTTAAAAGTTTTAAAACTACCTTAAATTGTACATGTTCTTGTACTTCAACTCCTGGCATGGTTTGTTTCCCATAGTCTTTACATTGAATCCAGACAGCATGTTCACCGACAAGGCAAATCTTAATGCATTTTTAAGGGCAATTTTTCATGTTGAACAATTTAATGGTAAGAGTTAATCTGGCCAGGAACGAGATAGGAACAGTCTGCTTGACTTGGTATAAGAATCTCTGACTTGACTTTTTGAACTGTCCAAGGCAAAATATTAACACGATTAAATATTTGTTATGAAAGATACACTTCTACATGCAAATTGGAATATTAGAAACAATACTTGTATTGATTTTTTAAGAACCTAATTTTCTTTCAAACTTTACCCGGGACCTAGGTTTTAGTCATTGCCAAGCTGTGATTTTGGTCTCTCATGTGTCCATATCGAGTGCTAATGTAGCCGGAGTCTAGATGGGCTTTTGCTCCAATATTTCTAAAACAAGGTGGGCTTTTTTTTGTTTGTTTGTTTGCATACTTTTATAGTAGACTTCTTTACAGAGGTGTCACAATCATCACTAGCATTTTGGCAAGCAGAATGGCTACTGTGGTGTCATCTCCAAACCTGAACATTTCTCTCCGTGTTCTGTTCGTCTTCTAAATATTTCTTTACAGTGATTTCTGGCCTTTGTGCTGATGACCTATACAGTACTACTCGCTTGTCCGTAGGGCCAGGACTTTTCCTGCCAGATGTTTGTAGCCCATCATTTGGTGGGTTGCCTGCCCAGTTTCACATTCGTTGTTTATGATTTTGCTATTGCTGTAGACGACTTATTTTGACTCTGTAGTCCTTAGAATTGCTTACATATCTTACTCTTAACGTCTTCAGCAGCAGGTCAGGTGATTGCTAAGGCTTTCTTTCCTGGCACTTTCTCTCTTGACTGTTTGCAACTGCCTTATGGTTGCTTAAATTCCTCTCTGCACAAGTCGTCCTTATGACCTGTAACTTACTGAAGGTTTTATTTTTGCCTCTGTTTTTGCGATCGTTAATGAGATCTGTGAATTTGCGATCAGAGGCCTCTGGTCACTGTCTCTTTGCTTATGATTACATGTTTAGTTTGGTATTTTTTGTCATGCCTGCCTTTCTCTGTTGGGCTCTAAAAGATTATTTTTTCTGGGAAGAGAAGCCATGAATCTTTATCCTATCAGTTCAATATCTGCTGGACCCTGTGGAATGTTTTGCAATGAGTGGCATTGTTGAGGACAAGTGGCATCCTCTTGGTTGGATCTTTGTCCGTTAGCTTCTTTGGCCTCTGATGACTCTGTGGGCATCCAACTTGAGACATCTGTAGCTCGGAATCTCATTTAGTACTGCATCATTTGTTAATTTTGATGTCTTTTATTGTGGCCTGTTAGTCACAACTGTATTGCAAAATCCCTCTTCTGTTTCCTGGTCATGTTAAATGCCTGTGTATCCTCCCAGCCTGCCTCTCAGCAATGGGAACTTTCTGAAAGACCCACAGCTCAGCTCGTTAAAAATCAGCAAACTGGTTATGACTTTTTACCATGGGTGCATTAGGACGTGAGATTCTGTCCCCTGTTGTTATCCCAGAGCTTTTCTCATCTGTTGTACCATCTCATGCACACAGATAAATGAAAAGTTAGAGAGCTGGACAGCAGAGATGTCCTTATGCTTGCCTGGCATTGAAGCTTGGAGTCGCCTTACTACATCAGTTTTCAGATTGCTAGGATTTTTGGCTAATCTCATTTAAACACAATTTTGTATACAATATGTGCTTCATCCATCCTCTGGGACTCCAGTAACTAATTGCTTCATGCAGTCTGGACTATCTGAAACACAAGATATTTCCCGGTCTGTAGCAAATAATCCTGGTCGAAATCTGCCTTGGTTGCAAAGGCTTCCCTTCCCACGTACAAAGGCAATGGGGCAGGCTGAGAGTCGCCCACTTGGCAGCAGTGTCCTGTACTAAAATACCTTGTTGGAATCTCTATAACCTAAGTGTTGCTTGAGTGGCTTGGCAGTACGTCATGGTATTTTCTAACGGCTGATGGTCAGATAGCATTTTCATCTTTTACTCCAAGAGTTAACTGAAAAGAAGGCTGATGCAGAAAGCATAGTCAATAAGCCCTTCCCTTGCCTTCATTTTTAAACCTTAATTATCATGTGTTTCTGTAGAACTGTTGTATGTCAGGGCTAGTACTTAAGATATTTTAGTCTTTCAGATGGATATTCCTTTGGGTTCTGGCCTTTCCTCAACGCGTCATGAAATAATAGATGCAACAGCTAAACACCTGCAGTAGGTAAACTGGACTAGATGAGTCCTTTAGAAATTATGTAGTCCATCCTTGAACCAAGTTACAGGTATACACATGAACCAGTTCTGGCATGGTTATTGGATCAGATCTTTAAATGCTACCATGGTAGAGACTCCACAGTCTCCCTAAGTAATCTGTTCCAATCCTTGATTCTTAGCACTGCAAGGTTTTTCACAATCTCTAAGAAAAATGTTCTTGCAGCAATTCAAGTCCACTGTTTTCTATCCCATTTCCAGCAGTCATGGAAGTCAGTTTATGACCTTCATTTTGCAGTAACTATTTATTATATTTGAAGTTTTTTCTTCTCCTATGTTTTTTTTATTTTTTTTTTATTTTTCCCTTTATGTTTGCTTTCTGACATACCATTTCCTTGTTTTTCTCTTGTGTTCAGATTATCCACATATTTCTTGAAGCGTATTGCCCACTATGTATTCAGTGTTTCAGATAAAGCTACTTTTTTAGAATTACTGAGTAAACAGGAAAAGTGTTTGTATGTCTCATTACACTCTTTTTTCTCTGCAGTTTGGCATTATTGATTTGTTTTTGGTTCCTAATCCCTCCCATACCCCTGTGCTCCAGAACCTCTTCTGCAGGGCTGCTGCCCAGCCAACTCACTGTCTAGTGTTTATGTATTATTCTCACAGTATTGCATTTTGTCCTTTGAACTGAGTTTTGTTGCATTTTCTTAGAACGTATCTCCATTTTGTTAAGTTTGTTTTGAATTTTCTCTTGATCCCCAAGTGCTTGCAGCTTTTTACAGCTTCCAGTTGTCAGGGGATGTAATTAATGTATTCTCTCCTCATTCAGCTAAGCCACTGAAATTGCTGGTTAGTGGCAGATCCATAAGGCTTCCCATATGCATGGGAAGGAAATGTTTTATACAGCATTAATTTTCTTAAGGGTTCATAAGCTTTCTAGCAAGCCTACTCAGAAATATTTGGAAGAACAGTTGGCTTTCCTAGAAATTGCTGGATTCCCTTCATGTCCTTTGGTTTCAGGATTCTTTAATGGCTCTGTCACTTTGTGTCCAGCAGAAATCCTTCTGACATTTACAGTGTTTGATGTGGGAGCCCTCAAGACATCCTTGTCCTCAG